CGGATGGTTACTCGGTTCCATTGTGCTATCTGCTCTGGCTTTGACTACTTGGACTTCAGTGTGATTTTGCATTCTGGATTGCTGTGCTTCGTCCATATTCATGTTCCTTGCACATCGGCGCGCTCACGGATTCAACTTCAAGATTCCAACTTCTGGATTTCTGTGCTTCATCCATATTCATGTTCCTTGCACATCGGCGCTCTCACGGATTCAACTTCAAGATTCCAACTTGCATTCAGTCAATTGAAGATCAAATTTTAAATTGTTCATAATTTAACCTCGGGGGGGAAAGTTCTGGAAAACCCCTATATTTTATTTTATTTTTACTTTTTTGGACCATTTCTCAATTGATGTGTGTCATCCTTGCTCGGGGGTCATGCTAATCTTCTCTGCATCGTTACAATTTTAATGGATGTCCCGAAGGACAACATCGATAGAATCTATGCTATTATTACTTTACTAATTGATTAGTATGATACTATGATGTCTAATCATATTTATATTAATCATTTACTAAGAGCGTATTGTTTTTGTTCGTCTTGCAATAACTTAGCTCGTATCATGCAATTGACTTGAGCCCTAGGCTGTCATTTCGGACTAAGGGCCGAGTCGGGGGCCAACGGCCACACCCGAGTCATGAAAAATGCCTCAAAACAAGGCCTGCTGCTGTGGGTACCCGAAGCATGGCCTAGAAACTGGGCTTCAGAGGCCCTGCGTGCGACAGTTGACTGTGGAAAGTCAAAGGTCAACATCAGCTCGAAAATTCAGGCTCACGAGTCAAAGTCAACATGGACCGAGCCCAGGCCACCGGTCAGACACACACATTTGGCTGTTTGCAGGTATCTGGCAAGAATCCAGTCCAAGTGGGAGTCTGCAACTGTGAGAGATCCAGGCCATTGACCGCGGGTCAATCTGGGCCATCGTAGCCGAGCGGCCAGAGGCTGGTCAACCGGAGTCGACACTATATGTTGACCCAGCCCCTGTTGACCGACATTCAGTCTTGCACTTGCTGCTCGACACTGGCTAGACGCTGGCTGGACGCTGGCTTGATATTGGAGGACGACGCGAGACTGCTGTGCGTTTACATGATGCAGGCGCCATATCTGTCTTTGGCGCCAGCTGGATCAGAGACTATGCCGACGTGGCATTGGCCACACTGTCTACAGCATTGATTGGACATTGGCGAGGAGGAGGATCAGGGCTGTGAGATTGGTCGATTGAGGAAGGGAGAGCTTACCTTTTCACGAGCCACACTGTCTACAGCATTGATTGGACATTGGCAAGGAGGAGGAGGATCAGGGCTGCGAGATTGGTCGATTGAGGAAGGGAGAGCTTACCTTTTCACGACCGTGTCGACATTGCACTCTACTGTTGTCTTCAGCAGGAGTCTGCGCCGTGTGCACCATGTTGAGATATGTTCTATGTCAGTGCGTGTCAGAGGGAACTGTCTGCTGACATGGCGAGTGGGAGATGCCTGAAGGAGGAGTGGGCCAAGGAGGGAGATCTATCTGCTGAAGCTGATGGTTACTTTATCTTCCACCCTCTGAGTCTAATCTCCCTCTCATCACTCTCTTCTCTGGTTACTTGACATTGGACTCTTGATTACAAGTATGATTGGAGACATTGAACCTGCGCTGAGACATTCGTTACTTCAACATTGTTGAGCTTTCCTCCAGACTGGGTAATTCAGAATGAATTTATTGTGGTCATCTGATTGTCTGGACTCAAACTTGGGTCTGTATTTCAACATTTCATGAGTGTACCAACTGAGCTACGCCCATTGGTAAATCCTAAACACTTCAGGATTCGTCCTTGGAGCGTTTTCACATTTCCTTTCAACATTTCGTCCTCAGGGATAGGTGGAACGACAGTGCAGTCCTTGAAATTGCATCCCCATGGAGTGTCTAACGAGGCCCATACAGTGCATCAAGCAAAGCATTCCAGAAAGGTGGGTAGAGCTGTTCAAGGAGGATTTCACATGGAAATCCACGGAACGGGGTTATGGGGTATGTTGACCCAGGCACAGATTCTAACAAGAACTTACCTATTCTCTCCACAGACAGATGGTGACGGACGACTGTTCAGTCTTCACATAGCTTCCAATCAATTATCCGCAACAAGAGATACATATGCGCATAGAACTCAATGTGTGAGGCTTACTTTCACAGTGAGGGCATCAAGTCTATGGCATGCGATACAAGTATCGCGATCATTATTCTGCGTCCTGCTCAGATGATCTTCATAGCCACCATCACAGAATATATAGAATACTCAGTCAACACCAGGGTAGTCTGGGCGCCTATGGCCGACGCCTACCGTAGGCTGTACGAATGCCTACCGGTCAGGCTGACCCGTAGGCGGTCTGCCGACCGGTTGGCACACTGCCTTCAGCTTTTTTCTTTTGTTTTCTCCCGAGTACATGGTTCCGACTACCCTGGTGTTGACTGAGTATTCTATATATTCTGTCTGAGGTTCCGACTGCCTGGGGGTGTGGGGGTGTTCGGGCAGGCCAACATGGTTCCGACTGCCTGAGGTTCCGGGGGTGTTTGGGGAGTGTTTGAGGGGTGTGTTGAGGGGGTGTTTGGGGGGGTCTGAGGGGGAGGTTCGGGGGTGTTTGGGGAGTGTTCAGTGGGTGTTTGGGGGTTGTTTGGGGGTTTCTGGTGGGGAGGTTTAAGGGGTGTTTGGGGGAGGTTTTTCGGGGGTTCTCTGGGGGAGGTTCAGGGTGAGAGACGGTTAACGGGGGCCCAAATATTCATCGTTTTTGTTAGCAATTGCGGTGCGAATTTCATCAAAAATTTTAAAAACAAATGATACGAGACCATAGTGCAAACATCAAAAAAGGAAACAGGCCAAAAAGAACGGAAAAAAAAACAAAAAAACACTATGAAACCCTAACACAAAGACACTGTCCGAATCAAAATGAAGCGTCCAACGAATTCAACAAAATGCCAACTTTTTCATTATTGATCCAAACATGTCAAAACTGCACACATGACGTACCCTAAAGCACATATATATCACACAAAAAGAAAAACAAGAAAAAAAGCAAAAAATCAGCACAATATGACAGTTTCAGTGCAATTCGGTGCAAAAGTCATAAAAAATAACACCCCCGGTTAACCGCATGTGTGTTTGGGGGGACATGGATCCGGTAGGACCCCGCAAAAAATTGTCGTTTTTATGCGGGGTGCCTACCGGTCGCCTACCAGTCGGCACCGACAGGTCCTACCATCTGCAGATCGGCAACCGACGGTTTCTGGGCCGCTGATGGTAGGTCAGACTACACTGGTCAACACACAGATCATAAAAGATTCAGATCAAATACAACCTTTTTCTTTAGATAAACCATCAGAAGAGTTGCGGTTTGGATTAAATGAAAAAATAATTTGAGTTTTATCTTTAACTGTATAACCTTGTTTTCAACGTCCACTTTTGTATTTATCTATGATGCGAATTTGGGCCCCAAGGGCCTTATCTCTTCACCCCGGATCTACTTCACTAAATCCGGAGTGATGATGTCACAGTCGGGACCTGTTAGTCCCTACTATGTCAGTTCCAACTGGCCGGCCAATCAAAGAATGATGTACGCATCCTATTGCATACCCAGTCAACACACAGAATCAACAAGCGTCTCATATTGCTTTCACGGTGATAAGAAGTCCAGTGGCTGGGGAGGCCAGGGTGCTCTTCTTTGTTATTAACATACGAGTTCACACGGGCCTAAGTTGACGAAGCTACCTTCCAAGGCACATGAGCCTCCAACTGGACTTTTCATAGTGGCGTTCCGCCTTCACCACCGCCCCAGGCCTGAAAAGCTGTTACGGCGTGTACCGGTAAGAGCTCAACTTAGGCTGAGGTGAACTGGCGGTTTAAGAAACAAATTATACAAGGAAAGGAAAGAGAATCAATGCCAAGTAACTAAGTCGCTAACTCATTTATGGCATGGCAATGGCATGAACAAAATGCAGGAGCCGGCAAGTCGACACTGATGCTTGCCCTTTTCCGGCTGGTTGACGCAACGGAGGGACACATATTCTTTGATGATGTGAACATCGCAGAAATTGGCTTGGAGAATCTTCGACGAAAGGTGAGCAGATAGAGGTCACTATTTTAAACTTTAAAGACATTTGCCGAGTGCATGCAATTTCCGAAGATAATAAACTAAAATTGACTAAATTCAAGGAGTGCATCAAAAGCTAGGTGAGAACAAATGCAGGTAACCATGGAACCCTCTTGAGCCTCTTTGCTCCTCTCTCTCTCTCTCTCTCTCTCTCTCTCTCTCTCTCTCTCTCTCTCTCTCTCTCTCTCTCTCTCTCTC